CTTGGAGAGCAACAGTAACGGACCCTTGGTGCCAATGGGCCAGGTCCATTATTGGTGGTACCAGAGAGTTCTTCAGAGCGACTTGAAGGGGCTTGGAAGCACCAGAGAACTTCAGCAGGAAGTTTTCTACCTTCTTCTGCCTCTATCCCCCCCTCTGCCTCAAACCAAATGCTGAACGTGTGGATTTCAGCAATTCACAGAGGTGAACAGCATGTTCTGCACACTCTGCATGCCCATGAGCAGGCGCAGGGCAGTCTGGTGCAGGGGCAGCAGTGCTCCTCCTGCTTGCGAGAGCATGCACTGCATGCTGCCATTGCTGCACTCAGCCACTGCGCTCCCAGCGTCTTTGTTACCATTGCCTGATAAATAAACAGCCCGAAAATTACAGAACTTATTATGGTAATTGAGTGAAGAAAGGGAAATGCAAACCCTGCTTCGCTATCCATTACATTGCCACCACTAAAGTTGCTAAACCTGCACTACTCAAATGATATTGTAATATTAGCCTTCTCTCTCTTTTCACAGTGATTGTTTTCTGTCCATCTCGGGTTGGATGTCAGTTCATTTAGATTTACATCAAGTAGTAAATTAAAATAATCACTCAGCAAACACTCTCGGCTCAGTTTTCTCTTTCAGTCAGAAGTTGCGAGAGATGCTTGAAGCATTCAAGCAGAAAATATTGCTGTCTAGATATTTGTCCTCTGGGTGATAAAGGAGGCATTGTCTTGGGACCCACTCAGGCCTCGGAGCTGATAGTAGCTGTGCATCACAGCTGTGAAGTGCGCTTTGTTATGTGTCTGAGGATTAGGGTTCAGGACCTTGTTTTTCTTGAAATACCAGACTGATCAGAGCTGCATATGTTCGGGGGAAAGCAGAGGTCGATGGTTCTCTGTCCACATTTTTACTAGATTATTCTTGGACAGAACTCTGGGAGAATACCCTGCAGCTTAAACCATCCCAAGAGTTTTTCATATTCTGCATTATAAACATCATGGAAAAAAAAAAAAAAAAAAAAAAAAAAAGCCCTAGTTTATCTATCTGCATTTGAAACAAAAGACTACAGCGGCACAGCGAGGCTCTGGGCTGTGGACCCACATTGGAGCAGGCTGAATTTACTCCTTTGTGTTCTATTTACAGTATAGCTGCCCGTTTAGAGGCACAAATGCACCTTGATATAAAAAGGAAAAAAAAAAAAAAAACCAGCAACCAAGCAAAAGCCTGTATTTTATCAAATAAGGTGTGTACAGAGGCACTCTTAGTGAAGACATCACCATAAGTTAAGGTAATCCTTTCATTACAGTCCCTGGGTAGAGATTGAATCCATCCCTTCCAGAACGGGGCCCTGATCAGTAGTCAGAATACTGCCCTTGGAATGATTGATGTCATTCATACAGCCCGCTGGTAGGACAGAAGTGAGCCCAGTGCTTTGCCCTGTACAGCAAATGCCTAAGGACCAGTTCCTTTTATTCCTCTGCTTGAAAGGATGTCAGCAGGCACTCCTTGTAACCTCACAGTTCTGAGCATCACCCATGCACCTTTACTTTTGAAATGAGGCCAGCACCTCCCTGACATGTCAGTGTGATGGTTCAGGTGCTCCTTTTCCACTGATGGTCAAGCCCAGGGCTGTCTGCCATGGCACACAGGTGATCTGAGATGTGAGCTTGGGCTCAGTAGGGTCCACGTCTGTGTGTGCCAGCTTGGGCACAGCTGCAGACCAGAGAACCTGAGCACCTCCTGCCCTCCAGCCCTGGTTTGTGTATCTCTGCTGTGTGGAGAAGACTCCTGGCATGTGTTGGTTTGGGGGCTTTTGGCAAGAATGAACCACAACTCTTTTTTCTGCCTCAGCAAATTCGTTCCCAAGTGACCAAAAAGAGTAACTGCAGCAGGATGCAGGCTGAGGAGCCTTAGTGAGGAGGTGACAGTGTGATTACTGTTTGAATCAAACTCCTGATTCTCAGCACAGCAAAGGTAGTATTCTGATCTGTGTGGCTAGAGGTGCCCCTGCTCCAGCCTTTGCCACGGCGATGTTTGTGGAGCTGGGCACTGCCATGGGGCACATAAAGCATTGGCTGCTGCTGCCTGGCAGAACTGCTCTGCTGCATTTGTGCATGTCTGCCTATAGGAAACTGGCATTGTATGAAAGCATTTATCAGTGAAGGTATGCTAACAGCAAACTTTCAAAAAAATTACAGGGCAGCAATCAGTGTCACATTTGTTTGTAAGTACTCTTTTATAGTTGTTTGTTGTTTTTTTCCTCTTCTTTTCCACTTTTTCCTTTCTTAGGAAATGACCAAAGGGCACTGACCTCTCATTTTGTGCTTGCAGAAATCTTCTCTCTCTTCCTTATTTCTCCTCTGGCTGCTTTTATTTTCTTCTTGTTTTGGGGTTTTTTTCTTACTTTTTGTTTTCTTATTTAATACTCTGAAGAGGTTAGGTCTGTCCTTCTCCACACTAGTTCAGCCATCCTGTAGCCCTCTCTTCTGCATGAACTGTTGCTGCTGATGGGGTTCGTGTATTACTGTATTCTTTGAGCATTTTCCTCTTCCCTCCCTAATTCATTTTTCCCCCTTCTTTGGCTGTCTCATACTTCTTTTATTCTCTCTATATTCTGGCAAAACATATCCAAGCAGCCACTTGCTGTTTTTCTGGGCTGCTCTTCCCCACCCTCAGCTATGTGCTCTGCAGAGCTGATCCCAGTGGTGATGCCCTCCCAGTGCCAGCCCCGCTTTCCCCTGTGCCATCTCTCCCTTCTGCACTGTCACACTCTGTAAGCAGTGTGACACAAGGACACAATGCACAGAGCCATGTTGGGAGGCAGAGCCCTGTACCTCAGTGCATTGTCCAACTGCCCCAATGCTGGCTGACAGCAGTGCATGACGAGGGCAAGCAATGGTAGAGCATGTTCATAACCCTTTCCAGCCACATCTATCCCAGTGCTGGGTGTAGGGACTGTCCCCATGAGGGCCAGGGAGCCCTGACACCTTTTTATATTTTCTTAGCTAAAAAACACAAACCAAGCTCCTGTCTCAGAGCTGGGCAAAGGAAGGGAGGGAAACCTTCCCTGCTGGTAGTCATGCCCTCAGCTCCCACAAAGGACATATGAGGCTGGAGCAGCTCAGGGAGAGGTATTCTGAGTGTGTAACCAGCACATCAGCCATTACATTAACTTTGTGGCCTTATATTAGCTGAAAATCAGGTCTCAGATCTTGATCTGAGTTCTTAGTGAAAGAAACGTCCAACCATTCACATGGCCATATGAAAAAGCTTGCTGAAATTATTCAGAGCATACATTGGTAGATTGCTGGATATCTCAATATCAGTTTGGATTTGGAAGTGCTTAAATTATCAAAATATTGACATAAATCCATATATGAAACAAGACACTTCTATCTGCAAGTGGTGCAGCTTGTTTTTTTTACTACTGTCACCAATCACAGTTACCAGGACCCAGACTAAAGGCAAACACTGGAAGAATTTCCAATAGATCCTTGCAATACTAAAATAAAATAAAATAAAATAAAATAAAACAAAATAAAATAAAATAAGAAGAGAGAATTTCCTGACTGCAGGAAAAGAACTGCTGGGGTAGAAGGTTACCAGGGCCTCTGACTCCTTGTGTGTAGCTGAAGAGAGTATACAGAGTGTTCAAACACAAGTAGGAGACCTCCGAGAGCAGCAACCACGCAAATCAGGGCCGGGTGAGAGAATGCAGCAGAGAGGAGGAGGGTAGCTGTCCCCACACACCCTCTGCTGGCAGGAGAGGTTTCAATGAGTCTTTGAAAGAGGTGGCTCACAAAAACTTCGTTTTGAGCTCTTGCTAAATTGAGAAATGTCAGAAATGGAAGTGCTATTCTCCACTTGGTTCTCAGGGTCTCTGTGTGCACCTGACTGGCTGGTGCTTTCTGAGAAGTGCCAGCAACCTGCTCTGAGTTCCCTGTGTTGTAGTGCCTGGCAGAATGGCAACACTTTGTTATAAATAAATAATATTTGCAATGTACTTGTTACATATCAAAATTTTGGTGTTATGCTTGCTGTTACGGGATAGGAAGAAACGTGCTTGGGTTTTGCTGTGGACTCACCAGTGTGACCCTTCCTGCAGAGCAGGCTGAGGTCTACAAAGCATTTTGGAACTACTTGCTCTAATTAACTGACAGGAAGTACTGGAGGTATGCAAAATGCAGGCAAAACCCTGTGTATTATGTTTGAATATTTCCTCCCTCCAACAACACCAATAGTGACTTTATGTTCTAGAGCTTGGTGGTGGCAGAAATGGGACTGACCCTTGGGTTTCCTTTGGAAGACAAAGTTGGCTCCTTTCCAAGCAATGCCATTCATAGCCCAGGCTCAAAAGGCAGCTGAAATAGCAGACTTGGCTGCAGCTGCTACCTGGAAATCCAGAGGCTGTTGTCATCCTTATTTCTTCTGTCGCTAGTCAGCTGGAAAGCACAGTGACCTGTGAGTAATGTGGCCATCCCAAAGCCATGCTGATAAAACCTTTACACTGCTGCCTCTCACCATCTCTCCCTTTCTGTTTCTCTGAGATGTTCTGATCCAATCTTGACTTCCTTTGAGGTAGGGCATTCTTAATGCTCTACCCCCCTTGGAGAGTCAGAGAGAAATGATTTTGAGTTGTTATTTTGTTTTGTGTTTGCCAGACATACTTGTCTGCAGAGCTTTTGTACGAGTGGAAAAGGACGTGACTGTGGCCATAGTCCAGGGGCTCTTCTGGACATTGCTCTTCTCAGTCGGTAGCTGCTGTTGCACAGCAGAAGATTTTCTGAATCCCAGCATGCCAGATTCTTAGGGGACAGTAAACTCCCAAGTGAAGCTCAGAGAAGCCCAGAATTGGGAGATAGGAAATCTCACACATTCTTTGCTCTCCCCACCTTCTTCTCAATATTTACATATTTCCTGGTTACCACTAGGCAGTCAATCCACTTGTTTTGGTAATCCTTTGCCATCTATACCACTAATGAATATTTTTTGTTCATTCCTTACAGGTCAGCATGGTGGATATTATGGCAGATTTCTACAGCCAAGACACAAATGTTGACAGATTTCCAGGTAACTGCCATTGTTTCTGATCTTTCATAAGTTGCTCTGGGTGTTGGAACCTTTTCTTCGATTTTAGGCTGCAATTCTCTCTCCTCATCTTCTACATTTGTCACCTCATGATCAGACTGTTGTCCTGAGTTGCATCTAAGTGCTATAAGTGCTACTTGGAAATGTGAAGCGAAGGCTGCCCGCTCAGTATGCAGCTCTTGTGTCCCACAGAAGCCTTTGACCAGAAACCCACAGACCTGCATATTCATATCTAAGGGGATTTGCTTGCATTTTATAAAGATATAGCTGCTTCAGCACTTACTGGATAAAGAACTGTCTTTCTGTCTGTATGATCCTGCCACAACTGTGGTTAATGGAAGAACTCAGTGGCAAGGCAATTTGCTTGTCTCTACAGAAACATTCTCACTTTTTTTCACTGGACAGAGCCCTTATCTACTTCTCACTCCTTTAAAATGGCTGAGATTTACTTTGGGTTGCTGCAGTGGATCTTAAAATATTTCATGGTTGCATTAGTTTCATTCTTTTTTTTTTTTTTTTTTTTTTTTTTGAGAAACTCAAAATTAAAGTAATCACATGCCACAGTAGAAACCTACAGCTCTGGGTGCAATGGTATGAAGCCTGCCGTGCTATGACCACCCTGAGCCCTGGCCCTGCTGTGACACCAAATCCATGGCAGTAGATGTGTGCTGCCTGATGAGGTTGTTCAAGGCAGAGCTTTGAGTGATCAGATGAAAGTAGGCTTTCAGTTTGACACTCAGTCATCCTTGTTATGAGAGTGTTTGTACTGTAAGCTCCTTGGGGCAGGGACTGTGGCTTTCTGTATTTCTTGAGGCTCGCCAAGATTGTGGCCAGCATTCTGTGAACCAAAGCTAATAAATCAAAGCCAGCTTTTCCTCACGTGCTTCAAAACCTACTCCATTTTGGAACGAGAAAACCACGTACAGCTCACTGCAGGCTTTGTCAAATTATTCCTCCCCTTCACACTTGGGCTCTTCTTCATTTTCCACACACTTAATACTCACCCAGCTCCTTTCTGTAACTGGCAGCTGATCCAATTACACACTAGAGGTAGAAATACTGAAGTCTTACAGTTCAAATGTGGAATGATATGCATAGTCACTTTGTCACTCAAATCCTTAAAAAAAGAAGAAAAAAAAAAGAAAGAAAGAAAGAGAAAAATCAGACTAGCTCGCCATAATTAAGGGCAGAAAATAGAGCACACAGTTAATATCTCCATGGTTTGCTCAATGAGGAAACTGGAGCCATGTGGCTTCTCAGATACAATCACTGGCTTTTTCCTTCTGGGGCTACAGTTCAAATCCAGCTTTAGGTTCTAAATTAAATGAGTCCCTTTAACCTCTGCAAGTGCACGAGATCCCTCCAGATCAGAGCTGAGGTTACTGACGTGTCAGCGTGGTGAGCCTTGCATTCTGCTACCTCTGCACACTTAATGGCATAAACAAAAGGAATTGAGGTCCAATCCTGGCAGAAGGCCAAGAATCAAGAGCTGTGTGGCCATCAGCACCGAGAGAGAGACACTGAGATAGGAAAGCCTGAATTATTGTAGGGCACAATCGGATGCAGAGCCACATCAGGGCTTTGCAGGTCTCACTCACTGGCGCTTCCTGCAATGAGGCACTTCATGGTAATGAACTCATCCGCTGCTTGCAGGCAGTGAAGTCTCAAAGGTAGGCTAAATCTGGGGTCAGTGGGATGGTGCTGTGTTCTGCCTGAGCTGTTTTCTAGAGTCCCCAATTTGCTTTTCATTGCATTAGCAGTACAAAAGTGTAGCCAGAGTCAGGTGTGGGATCCCAGCGGCACCATCCGGATGTGCAGCTCTTGAACTGTGCAAGTTGCCCGTGCAAAGCTGTGCCAAGAGAGAACTTGTTTGTCAGTAGGAAGGATCCTACGTGTTCACTAGGGATAACAAGGAATCCCAGTAATACAGTCCCAGTAATAATGATTCTCTTTGAATTAAGGGCAAAGCTAAGATGCTGGCATTGCACAGCTAACTTGTTTGTACAGTTGGCATTTAGCTGCTGCGTACACAGTGGACTTATGTGCCTACTTCAGGAATTGCCTTTCTGGGAAATTCTGGTTCAGTTTCTTGCTATACTTTTGTTCAAGCTTTTGTTCAGTGAGCCAGTTGCATTCAGAAAGCACGCCTATAAAACTGTGCAGTGGCAGCCCAGTATCTACCATTACCAAAAATATAGGAACATTCAAAACCTCCAAGCTCCTCCACTTCCCACCAGAGAGCTAGAACTGAGAATCCCATATGGAAAAAAAAAAAAAAAAAAAAAAAAAAAAAAAAAAAAAAAAAACCCTCAATAATTAAAAATCCCTATTTTGCCCAAATAATTCCTTTGTTCAAGGTATGTAAATGTATTTGCCTGCTTGTAAACTCTTTCATTAGCAGTAGTTCCCTGGCTCAGTAATCTGAGCTTGGGAATAGAGAAGTCTGGAAGGAGTGTTACTCTGAAACAAAACATCTGTCTTTCAGTCAAGACTAAACTGACAAGCAACAATTTAGTTGTCTAAACTCAGAGCTTTCAGGATTTCAGACTACATAAATGTCAAGATGCCTAGGTAGGGCTCAAAGGTGAGCGACAGTGTCGGCAAATATACATTGGAACTTCAATTATCCAAACCCTGATAACTCTCAGTTACCTGAAGTTTAAACACGTCTCCCCTCACCCTTAGTTTCCACATTTTTCTGTAAAATCCCTTTGTACAGAATTGCCTATGTCTTTGCCCAGCTTCGTCTGTAAACTTGAAGAGCTCGTCTCCAAAGGAGCTTAGTGTGTCTGCCAGATCACCCTTTCTGACAGAGTCTGTAATTATCCTTTCATGTTACCTGTAACATTTGAATGGAAGTATTAAAATAAATAAATCATAGTTTTAATCTTTGCTATCTCCAGCTACATTCCACTTCTCCTTAGGCATGGTGCTGCTGGGGCACCTATCATCCTCAGCACAGAGCATGGAAATGCCGCTGCTTTAAAGATACTGCAGAGAGGGTTGTGTCCTTTAGTTAGTGGATTGGATGGACTCTGCTGGTCAGCAGAACTCACTATCAGTACACAGACAAAAATCTTCACTTAGTTCCTCTGCTGTGACATCTTTGATATTAACAGTGGATAATTTTTGGGCTGAGGACTCTGAGCAAGAAACTGGCACCACGAGGAAGAGCAAAGGGATTTTTGGCCCCTCATTGTGGGCCTTCACTCTAGCTGAAGGCAAAGAGCCTGATCTTGCCAGAACAAATGGCATGAGATGTGGAAGACCCAGTATTCAGAGGAAATTAAAATCCTTTTCCCCATTTGGAAGCAGAATTATGAATGTGAACTAGAAGGCAAAATACAGTCTAGTTTCATCTGTGGCTTTGTCTAGGAAAGAAGACAAAATCAAATTAATAGGGTTGTTCAATTGTAGGTTTTGTAGATATAAAAAAAATCTCATACTCCTGGCAGCAAATTAATATTGCAAAATAAAACCAGCAACAGAAGACAGTCCAGAGCATGCCCATTTCAATATTTAGCAAGTCCTGGTGTCTTAGGTGTCCCATGGTGATCAAAATCAAAATAAATTAAAGTTGCGCTTTAATTGAATTGCACAATGACATTTATTTAAACATTAGTAAACAGATGCAATTTTGTGCAATGCCTTAAATTACATTTCTTACATATGCATTTAATTTAAATTTATTGAGATGGTTATTTATGTTAATAAAATAATTAAAAGCAGTTATTTAAGAGTAACTATGAAATAACTGTGTAAGTACCTATATTAATAAGACAGTTAGTTAAGGGATAATGTCTATTGCTTTATAGTGTAATTGCAACAAACAGCTGCTGAGTTTGATTAAGAGCTGAAGAGGAGCTAAAGCATTTGAGCAATCTCAAAAGCTATTTGTTGTAAATGTTCTACAAAGCAGTAGCTATTATTCCTATTGTTAAAAAGCCATAGTATAAACATTAAAATATAACTCCTTAGTATGATGCTTTTTTCTTGGCATATACAAGCACCTCTCTGGGAATGGTGGGGCTAGAGATGGGGCTTTGGTGGAGAAAAAGCTTTCTGGGAGGGAATAATTTGGTTGAACACAGCTTTGTTCACATCTCCTCCATGTGAGAATATACCTAACTGTGAAGCAGGGCACTGTCTGTTCTTGCAGGCTGCGTGTTCAGTGTTACCATTAAGAAATCCGTAGCTGGATCTCTTCCAGATTTTGTAGGAAAATCAGCCTAAGCCTCAGGTCTGACCTAGAAATTTCTTGAGCATTTTGCTGGAGTGTAAGGAGACTTGAGCATACAGTAAAAATCCTTCCGCAAGTTTGTCTCTGAAATGGCTGCTGCCACTCCATAACTCCATCATTAACACACGAAGCAGACACTTCCTGGTCCCCAAGCGTATCCTGCTTTATGGCACTGACACATACCTAAACCACAGACCATTAATTTCAGTGGGATCAAGTAAGCAGATAGGCATTACTTGTATTGCAGTTGTTATTTACAAACTCCATATTCTCCTGCTTCTGGGCAGTGTGATCATATGCAAGCTTTCGCCTTTAAGATTTTTGCTATCTTTGTTGCAAGTTTTGTAGTAAACTAGGAAAGGGTTGCATGATTACTTGAAAGCTCTGAATAGTAAACTCTGCCATGTTGACTAGACACAATTGGACATCTGGAGTCAACTCCATTTTCCTGCTCCTAGTCTGTGCACCTCTGTGCCTCTTTTAAAAGTGAAAATCTCACAGAGCCCAGAAATGCTAGAAAAGGCTGCTAAGCAAAACAGTACCAGCAAAGATTTGACATGTTCCTGGTTTTGTAGTGAACTAAGCTGGCCAGGCCCTAGTGACAGATTTTCGAAGGAGGATGAGAACATGTCCATGTCATCCTGGCTCTCAATTCCAGCCAATGAAAGGTGGGTGGTTCTGTGCTGCTGGGAACTGAGCTTGGGAAAAAGGTACTGAAGCCCATTTGGTCAAGTCCCACCAG